GTATTATCACCGTTGCATAATACTGCACTGCATTCTCCAACTGTGCATTTTTTCTTTTTAGCTCTTTCTTCTCCTTACACATATTAACTACTTGTTGTTTTAACAAGCACATCTCATCTCTCCATTACTGATTTTCTTCTACTCTTGCTTGTAATCGTCGCGCCATATTGGAAACTGCAGTCATGGCCTGTGTACTAAGAGCCATAGTGTTATTAATAGCATCGAAATCATTTCGATTGCCAACAACACTAGAACCCTCATTTACAGGCATAGCATGTGCCTGCATCACTGGTACTCTCTCATTTGCCTGCATTACAGGCACCTCATGCAGGTCCGACTCATTGATAGACAAGGTAAGGACAAAAGGCGCTAAAACAAATTTTTCTCTCAAACACTTGATGAATTCGTATCTTTGCCTATGATCTATGTCACTTTTTATACACTCCATTGCTCCATTACTCGATGCATATCTGCTCAAATCTTTTGTTTGTCAATATTTTCTGCGCTCGAGATGCTCCAAAATCCCCACCATGATTCCGACAAGACAGAAGGCCTGCTATTTTATTTTTGGCCGCTCAGCTTATTTCATCAACTGTGTTTGTTTCATCTCTTCATCTTTTATTTTGATGATGTCAAAGGGGGAGAAAAAATATGATTTTTCTTTTGAAAATTATATGTTGTATGTTACAGGGTTATCAAATGTTATTTTGTGTCAAATCCATACAAATATTGCCATCATCAAAAAGGGAGAGATTGTTGATCATATTATTTAATTTTGATGATGTCTAAAATATTATTTGTAACACTCTGAATTTTTTTAATATACATATTATTTGACACAAAATATTATCTTTTTAAAATATATATATATTTGTTAAATATTATTTAAATAAAAATATTTTTGAAAACTTTACTATTCATCTTTTGACAAATAAATTAGTTATATTATTTTGACAAATGTGATATTGATAATTTGTTTTCTTTTGATAAGATCACATATGATGAATGGTATATAGCAAAATTATTTTGCATGCAAAGTGAAACCTACTCAAGTGGTGTTTGAAAACAAATCATACCTTTATATATATATATATATATTATTGTAAAAAGAAAAAGATGAGCAAATCTTTTGACAATAGGTTTTGTATCATATATATATTACTATAATAAATAAAAAAAGGTAAGTGTAAAAGTTTGACAAAATTATTGCATCTTATATATATGCATATATATATATATATACATGATAGTATATTCAAAAGTGATTGATTAGATTATATATTCAAACCTTGGTGATATGTCTGTAAAGTTTGAAAAAGCGAACAAAATTTTTTTATACAAAAGAAAAATTGTAAAATGCTTTGATTTTGCTTACATAAGAAAATAGACACAAAATCATGTAGGTCTTGACTTCAAGGAGTCCATAATGATGGATCAAAATCAATTCCCTATTTGAATTCAAAGATGTGATTCAAATTGTCGACAAGTCGGTGGCTCATATTTGAAATTTATATTATGTCACATACACACACACACACACACACACACACACATATATATATACTAATGAAACAAGAAGAAAAAAGTTGAAGCAAATTATTTGCTTGGTTGAAAGTTGTGTTTTATATCAAAATTGTCTAAAATGGTGGCTGCATTTTTGACTAAACAAAAAGGGAAAAGAAAAAGTTACTCTTACTAATTATTTTCATCTTTTTCCTTATTAACATGTGCTGAATGTTTAAATTAAGGAGCGTGCTTATGTAAGCCACGACGTCAGCAAGGAGCGTCCAACAGATATATTTTTGTGTATAAATAGAAGTGTTGTGTGTGGAGAAAAATCAAGAACTTGAAGAGAAAATTTTATGTGAGCTCCAAATTGTATTCTGCTCTTTCACTTTCAGATCTAAGTCTAACCTTTGTTCTTACACTTTCATATCTACTCTTTGTGAGAGAGTTATTATAAAAGAGGGTTTAAGTACCACTTATTCTTATTCCTTATTTTTGTGAGAGATTTTGTAAGGGTAAGGCTTTTATTGTTGAGTGAGGCTTGATAGATAAGAGTAAGTCCTATACCAAATCTACAAGCTTGGTGGTGCATTTATTGAATTGATAGTAAAGAAATTCTCAAGGAGGTTCCTTGGGGAGTGGACGTAGGCCTGGTGTGCCGAACCACTATAAATCGCAGTGTTTGATTTTCTCTCCCTATCTCTCTTACTTTTATATTGATAATTATTATTCTGTTTTTTATTTATTTATTAAAATTCTGAATATTGTGTTAATTTTAATATTGTGAAAACTTTAATAACCCAATTCACCCCCCCTCTTGGGTTGCCTATCTGGGACAACAATAACAACATATTCATTGTAAAGCTCATATAGGGCCTCATGCACCTCATAAATGTTTCTAGTAGCTTCTGCCTCAAGGTAGATCTCTGGAAGACAAAACTGAACAAGCATCAATTTGAATCTTGGATCCAACACTCTAGCTATAGCCATTAACAAATTACATTCACCCCAGTGCTTGTCAATTTTTTTTTTTTTCATCTTCAAAGCCATTGTCTTAATGTAGTCATTGTCATCCACTGACTTGTTATTCAATATTTCTTTCATCCTCCAAACCTCTACAAGGAACAAATTAGAAGTAGGATATTCACTCCCGGAGATAATATTTGTGACTTCATTGAAAATTGCCAAAAATTGACATACAGGTTCAACTTTCACCCCATCTTCAAGGCAAGACATGTAAACAAAACTTAGATCCCTTTCTTGATATCTAGGGAAGACATCTTTAAACTCCAAAGCAACAGACAACATCATATAATCTGCATTCCACCGGGTTGGACAATCTAAAATCAATTTTTTTGAAGGCAACTGCAATTGCTTAGCAATCTCACTAAATTGATTAAGACGTGCTTTTGATGCATTCAAGTACTTCACACCATCTCGAACACCATCAACAGTATCTCTTATTTGGCCAAGCCCATTGTAACAACCCCTACCCTTAACTAATGTATAATCCATGATTAAAAATTCTTAAGAAGTAATTAAGGTGGAATTTTGCATTCATTACATGTATTATGTGCTATATGAGTTTTTATCTGTTCTGCGTAGAAATATCTATTTTTGTTTCTGTTTTATTCTGCGAATTGAAGGCCTTTTCGATATCCGATTACGGAATTGACTTGATTTTTGTGCTAGTTAGAATTTTTAGAACCTTATGGTTAGTTTAATTAAAATTCAATTCGGAACGCATTAAATTAGAATAATTAGTGTCAATTGCTTAGCTTAAGTTAAGATTAATTAAATGTTCTAAGTAAGCCAATATAAGGCCTATACACACCACTTGAGTCACCATTTTTCTCATCATCTTTGAGCCTTTAAGAGACAAATGTGAGAGAGAAGAAGAGAGAGACGAAGGGGGTTGAGATCAACACTAGGGCTTGGAAGGAATTACTAAAGAATTCAAGGAAATTGGCTTGAAACCTTAGAGAATTCACCAACTAGAGCCCCATTGAGAAGTTGAGGTTGGAATTCCACCATTGAATTGTATACTTATGATGTCTAAACCACAAATTCAAGAGAAATTAGTTGAGTAATGCAAGGTTTGAACTAGGATGGATGAACTTGAGCCATATCATGCATGAATGCACATTTTCTTACATTTTGAATTAAATTTCAAGTAATTCTCACATGCATATGCTAAGTCTACCTTTGTTTTGAGAGGTTATCTTGTGTTGTATCATTTTATACCAATTGATCATGTTTTGGGAGCTTTGAAGTCAAGATAAAACATGCATGTTATGTTTTTCAAAGAATTGAGCTTAGTTTTGAACATTTGGCATGCTTTTGGGCCTCGATTTCATGAAATGATCTTGAATTCTCAATATTTTCCAAGTTTAAATATGTTTCCTCAAGTGTTTGGCTCAGAAGGATGAGTTTTGTAGCTTTGAAGTTGAGTTTGGAAGCTTGGAGGTAAATCTGGAAATCCCAGAATTCGACCTCTCCGCTCGAGCGACAGATTATGCGCTCAAGCGGCCACCATTGTTTTTGCATCTCCGCTTGAATGACCAGAAGTCCGCTCAAGCGTAAAATGCAAGCTCCCAGAAGTTTCCATGCTTTGCAGACTGCTTGAGCGACAAGAGTTGCGCTAGAACGAGGACTTGAGTCTCACGCTCGAGCGACTGTCGAGCGGGCGTCGAGCCGGAAAATCAAGCAACCAGTACTTTTGCAGAGTTTACAGACCGCTCGACCGACATAAGTTGCGCTCAAGTGACCACTCACATTTTTCCATGTCCGCTAGCGGGACCCCTGTTTTCAGCAAGTTTTGTTAAATGTTTTCACATATATTTTGGCATCCTCATTGCATCTTAGGCATCCCTAGGTCAGATTAAGACATAATAATGAGGATAAGAAGTAGAAACACACCAAGGTAAGAAAGGATTAAGTTAATGATTCCGGCTGTGTAATTTAGTATGTGTTCGTTCTGTAACTATGTAGGTCACGCAACACAAGACATCTAATTTGCCTACTCTGTCTGTTTGCTTTGGAGCCAACTGTGAGTAATAACTTAGTAAAGTTATGTTCAACTTTATTTATTTTCTGTATATGGAATAAGACCTGTTTTATGAAATGTTATGTTCTGTACAATGAATGATTGTCCAGTTTCTAACAAGTACTCATGGCAACAATTTCGTGGTTCAAGTATATTATCCGTTCCCGGTACTGGAGGTTCCTTTATGGAACTGACAAGTTATTCATTCCCAGTATTGGAGGTTCTTTTATGGAACTGACAAGTATGACCCGTAATGTTTTGTATATGATATTTTAGCATTATTGAATGTACCAGGTTTACTCAAGCATGAAGAATATGCATATGAATATGAATCCGTATTTGATCTGTTTTCTATTATACTTTGAACAAGAATATTAATATGAATCTATTTTCTAAATCTGGTAGAGGATATCATTCATTTAACTCTTTACTCTGTTATGTATGCAGGTGAGCAAGCATGTGACCAGGCCTAAGTTGTTGCCTGGCGAGTTTTGGGTCAACCAACCATCGTGCCTCCCGGGGAGGTTCCCTTTTGAGATGTCATATTTGTGAACTTCGCTAAAGATGTTTGTTTTATTTGTTTACCTGTATAGTGGGCTAAGTCCCCTTTTGTTCTATATGTAATATATATATGACATGAGCTACTGTAATTATGGTGTCACGCCTATGATATATAGTTTGAAATTTCTGTCCCATATATGTCAACACAGCTCTATGGACTATGTATGTATATTTTCTTCCGCAGTCCCTAATTATATGTTATTTTGTTAAAAGGCCTTTGGTAATCCAAGGATTACTGGCTGGTTACGACGCTAAACCTACAGGGGCGGGTATGGGTTGCGACACCCATCATGCACCATGATTTTCACTATGTGGGCACAACAACGTACATGAAAATTTTTTCCACCCAAAAGCAACTTTTTTTTCATTGCAAAGGTTTCTTTCAAAATTCTCAAACAAACATCATTGTATAAAGCATTATCCACTGTTATAATACGCACCTTATTTTCAATGCCCTATTCAACTAGGCACTTGTGAAGAGCATCCGCAATGATAAACCCAGTGTGTGGAGGTGGTACATTACAAAAGTTAAGAATACGCTTTTGCAACTTCCAATCATTATCTGTAAAATGGCCCGTGACAACCATGTATTGAATTTTTTTGCCCTGACTTCCATAGGTCGGTCGTAATACTAATCCTATTAACACTCTTCAATGTTGGTTTCAACTTCTTCTGTTCTATATTATAAGTCAACATACAATCATTTTTTGCAGTGGTACAAGTTATCTTTTGCCAGTGTGGAGTAGTAGTTTTCATGAACTTGTTAAATAAAACATGCTCCATTTTCATAAAAGGATACTTGTGATAAAGTATCATATGAGAAGCAGCTTCCCTCACCTTTGCTTGGTCATACTTGAAGGCTGCCACATTGGTTACACTGTCAGACTCGGTTGTCTCAAGTCATAGAACCTTTTGCTTTTTGTCAACAAGATGTCCTCTAGCACAATTGTTCAAGTGCCTAAGAAGTTGAGTTGTAGCACCCGTTGGAGAAATGACAAATCTTGTTTTGCAATGCATGCATTCAGCCTTCTTGGTACCATATGGAAGAATCACTTCTTTAATTTTATTCCAAACATTTGATGTTCATTTTCTAGTCTTCTTTTGGAATGGATTGTTGTCTTCAGGAACTCCATTTTTCTCTTGCATTTTCCTCTAGTTCAATTAAATTATCCACATCATTTGCATCTTCTTTAATTGTATCCATCTATGGACTAGTGGATAACTCCTTAAATGACGAAAACGGTGTACAAGAATCTTGCTCTGGAGAAGTGAGATTAATTTGTCTATCTGACATATCTAAGAAAAATAACAATAATACAAGAAATAAATTAATACACTAATAAATTAACAATCAATATAAAATTGAACTAGAATAATAATACATTAAGAAACTAAAAATTGAACCGACCATTGTATTAAATAAGTGAAACCAAGAGAGAAAATTACCCAAAACAAAGCATCTCAAAAATTAAATTGGTAAAGCACAAAATTAGTAAATCATCTTTATTGACAAATGTAACCAAGGCCCATATTTGAATATGGATATATATATATATATATATATATATAGACATATATTTGAACTAATAATAGCACCATAAACTACAATATTATTGAAGTACTCAAATCACATACATAACTGAAATTCAAGGATGCTCATTGCCATTCAATTTTGCAACATAAATTATAATTTTATGTGTCAAAATGTGAGCACTCATTATGCAACTCAAAAAAACAGGGGACAATATATATACTAAAAATTGAACCACTATTGAATCAAATAAGTGAAATGAGAGGGAAAATTATCCAAAACAAAGCATCAAAAATTGAACTGTTAAAGCATAAAATTAGTAAATCATCTTTATTGACAAATGTAACCAAGACCCATATTTGATTATGGATATATATATATACACACATATATTTGAACTAATAATAGCACCATAAACTACAATATTATTGAAGTACTGAAATCACATACAGAACTGAAATTCAAGGACGCTCATTGCCATTCAATTTCGCAAAATAAATTATAATTTTATGTGTAAAAATGTAAGCACTCATTATGCAACTAAAAAAAACAGGGGACAATATATATACTAAAAATTGAACCCCCATTGAATCGAATAAGTGAAATGAGAGAGAAAATTATCCAAAACAAAGCATCAAAAATTGAATTGTTAAAGCATAAAATTAGTAAATCATCTTTATTGACAAATGTAACCAAGGCCAGATTTGAATATGGATACACACAAACACATATATCTACATAAATGCGTGCACGCATTATGCAACTCAAAAATCATCTTTATAGACTGAAAAAATATCAAAACTATGAAATACAATCACACACACACACACACAAATGAACAGAGAGAAAGATCGTAGTTTTTTCCTAATTTATATGTTCAAAACAGGGAACAAAAACCAATCCAAAGAAGAAAAAAAAGAAAAAAAGGGAGACAAATATATACATGATTAACAGTGTGTGTATTGGAAGGGGTAGTGAGAAATACCTAATTCTGCAAATTTGAGACTGAAGGGAGACGAGAGAGAAAGGGTCGATGGTGAAATAAGTATACTGTGTGCATAAAAGCATGTGAGACACCGTGGTTGAAAGAGAGAGAGAGAGAGAGAGAGAGAGAGAGAGAGAGAGAGAGAGAGAAGAATTGACTTACCACAATGGATTCAAGAGAGAAGAATAATCTCCCAGTCTCAGATCTTCACCAAAGCAATGAAACTATACCATCGTCGATGTTTGAGTGTTTGAGAGTTGATGAGATTAATTCTTTGTGCGATTGATTCAAGTGTTGGCCAGATCTAGATTGTTGATGTTGAATGTTTACAGCAGTAATAGGATAGGAATGTATATGTCACAAAGAGCAGCAAGCAGGAGCAATGTATGAAT